TAGTTGTTGCTTGTTGCTTGTTGCTTGTTGCTTGTTGCGTGTTGCTTGTTGCTTGTTGCTTGTTGCTGTTGGTTGTTGGTTGTTGATGTTGCTGGTTGTTGGTTGTTGCTGTTGGTTGTTGGTTGTTGGTGGTTGCTGTTGTGTTGTTGTTGTTGTTGTTGTTGTTGTTGTTGTTGTTGTTGTTGTTGTTGTTGTTGCTGTTGTTGTTGCTGTTGTTGCTGTTGTTGTTGTCGTTGTCGTTGTCGTTGTCGTTGCTGTTGTTGTCGTTGTGTTGTTGTTGGTGGTGTTGTTGTTGTTGTTGCTGGTGTTATCGCTGTGCTGTGTTTGTTGTGCGAACATTTAATATTGTAACCGGTCCGTGCACCTCCAGATAGATGTGAGTGACATCGAACGCTGTAGGATGCAACTATGTAGAATAATAGCGCGCGCTTTTGCACGCAGCACAGAGTGTGATTGCATGAGAATCCCAATCTCGTCTAGTCTATACTCTCCCTAGCAGAAAGAGTATTAGCCGATGGTTGTCCGTCTTTGCTTACCGTGTTTCTTCTTGATGACGAAACCAACCGTCGTCGTAAGGATACAAGAATTATGATGCATATAAGTTTTTGCACACACGTGTTGGTTGTGTGCGAATGTTAACCTATCTTAATCCTCATCTCGTCTGTGCTCTCTACACCGATGATCTCTTAGAGTACCAGCGCGGTTGTCATCGCTCCCCGAACATAGAACATACGTCATCCCCAGCAAGTCGCTCCGCGAGATCGGAAACCTGCAAAATGGTCGAATTCGGAGCAATTTTTTGCCGGGAGCACCTGCTGCTTGCTCGTGTTTCGTGCTTGAGAAGGCTGGATATCGTTACAGTCAAACGTTGATGCAGGAGGCACCAATCAAGCTGAGACTTGATGAGGGCGTCTAAAGTAGTGCAGGACGGCCTATGGTCTGATTCCTCGCGCCTCGGGCGTACGACTCCAAAATGTGCGTGATTCGGATCTTCGGAGTGAACGGCGTCAAACAGACAAGATTTTTCTTTGGCCATTCTGTGAGACCTCTAGTCTAGAGACCGAACGGTCTCGTGGAGTCCACGTTTTTCGGCTTGTGTTCGGCCAATAAGGCACAGAGCGCCCTGTTTCGGGGCCGCCTTCAAAGGGCATGTGTATGACCTCACACCAGTGACAGCGGGTTGTGGACGGACATCGTCCCACAAAAGCCTCTCTCTGGCATGCTTTGTTGACTGGTCCCACTTTGAGCAACCAGACAAAAATAATCACACGTCCAAGACGCCAACGTCGATACGCACTTCGGTTCACGTGTGCGAGGGTAGGGTATGTCTATGGACGATGAACGCACGACATTGCAATTTGTGGATGTCGTCGGCCTCTAGCCTCGCTCTGGCATGCGTTGTTGACTGGTCACACATGCAGCAGGTGCAATAACGGCCATCAAACACCGCATCTGGAGCCTGGACAAACCTAGCGACAGTGGCTTTTAGGCAAGCACCGCGTGAACGTGCAGTGAAAGCATGCTTCAGCAATCATGGCCGGTGCAGCGAGCTCGTTAACCTCATTCTCAACGGACTTTGCACTCAAGAGTATGGTGCAAGACCCAGTGCGGTGTCCTTTCCATCAGGAAGAAAGCAACCACGAAGAGACAAATAACATGGTGGGAGATCGATATTTTTCAAACGTACCATATTTTGATGTCGAGCGCAAGGCACGAACGAACACACGATTTCGACTACAAGGTAAGACTTACACGGATAGAGTACATGGGTCAAAAAAAAAAAAAAAGCACGCCTCGACACCGGCGTGCGAAACAACTGGTGGGCGCAAGCCGCGAGCTCCCTGAACCTTCCGATGGCCATTTACCAAGCCCTCCGACATGCCCAAACAGGTAGACTACCCCAATTGCTGCTGAATTGGCCCATTTGCCGCTGAATTGGCCAATCTAAAGCGCTTCTGATTTTGAGCATTTTCCTTTCTCGTTCCTTCAAGTCACTTCACGAGATCCCACCTCAACAATCAATACCCGTTTTTCCGTTAAGGACAGCGTCCAATGTCGGCGACACTCCAGTCACCACCGGGATAAAACGGAGCCTTACACACTCAACACACGCCATTATCCTGCAGAAGAGGGTCCAAGGCAAATTGCTCTCCCGCTCGGAGCGAGGGTACGACCAAACGAAATCGTATTTAATACCGCTACTGAAAGCAAGAGACAGCTCCCGCCCGTCATGAGAAATGCAAATGTGTTGGCCGGTATCGTGTAACGCTGGCCCTGCAACACATCGTTTGTGAACTGGTTATGGTGTGGCTCGACCCTAAAAGACTGGTGTTGCTACATACACGAGGAACGCACCGAAAAAGCGACGTTTGAACCGACCCGCGTACCCGGTTGCTGCTTCCAAGCGACTACCCGCTGCCGTCGGCACCAAAGCCTGTTTCGGTTGCGCCCGCCTTTGCCACCCTGAAAAAAATACCCCAACCATCCTCGCCTTTTCAGAAATGTCAACTCTCATCCAATCGACTCTGGACGCCTGTCTGAACACCATTCGGTCCACACTTTCGGGACGCACCAGCCGGGGTAAAAGTTAGCCACCCGGGCGGAAGCAACGCCAACACGTTTTGTTCTCTCAGCCTTCCGTCAAACGGAAGGATACGATACCGCACAATACTACCATAGGCAGAGAGGTTGGCCAAGAGGGCCTTCCACATTTCTATCGCGAGCCACACGCCCTGTCCGCCCCTCCAGATTTCCGAAGTACGTTCCTTCTCCCAACCTTCGAACACTTGTATCACTTGTATGGGTATGGTGGCGTTGACAAGGTAAGGTCACGTTCCCACCAAGGTAGAGGTGGGGTTAGCAGCCGAACTCAGCCGCGATCTCTGAGATCTTCACCGGGCGGCCCTCCTTTGCACTTCGTGCGGCGGCCATTCCTACATGATTCAAAACGATTCCAAGGCAAACGAAAGCCAGGTGGAGGGGGCAGGGACGGGGATGAAAGGCATGCATGCCAACAAAAACAAGCGACCTCTGCGCAAATCATAACGGTGTATGGACAGGGCATGGGGGTGTGTACGCATATGAGAGGGCTAATTTCTTCGAAATGATGCGGAAGAGGCAGGATGCTTGTTGCTCTACACCTTCGGAGCAGGCGAGAGGCACAGGAAAACCGTTCTACTAATTATAGTATATTTTAGTACAATGGCAAACACATTCAAATTTCTTATCCCCTGACCAGCCGGACCAGTGAGATAATTTCAGAATTGGAGTTTCACAAGGTGCAGGGACCAGAGCGGGGTTCGACGTGGAGAAAACAGCGCAAGCAGCACAACAACAGTGGCCACCACAGCAGCAGCAGCAGCAGCAATACCGACAACGTACCGATGAAAATGGTGACCTTGCCGTCGATGCCGAGGGCTGGCTCGAGGGACTCGTCTCCGGTCTTGACGTACTTCACGAAGGCGGACATGATGTTCACGTACGAATCAGCATACCTGTCCAGGAAGAAGCTGTACGGCACACCTGGAGGAAGCATTTCGAACCAGAGCCAAACCAGTTTATCCGAAAAAACGACGAGTGGTGCCCGGTTCGCACATTCATGCCAGCGAAACCGTCACTACAGATGCAGCCATGGTCAGGATTTGCTAGAGAATACTGACTGTATGTATGTGTCATGGACCGAGAACCGTAGTCCACAGCGAGCGGCGGCGGTGCCTTACCGTGACATCTTTCGTTCCTACTGGAGGACAAGAGTTTGGTTTGGCAAACATCAACGGTAAAGGCAACAAACAGAGACACGACAACTATAGTTCAATGCTATCGGGACAAGCTCAAAAGCTCACGCGCCATGTCAACGCGAGGCATCTCTACCCCTTCCCACGCCGGTACTACAGAACGCAACCCTACGCATACCACGAACGACGCATGAAGATAGACACAATACCACCGCTCACATAGACATAGACTAGCCCAGGAGTTTCGCGCCTATAAGTACTCAAGTATAACGTAAGTACATGAATAAATACTCTTTCATCTACAGCTCCGCCGCAACTGAGTTGCACCCACCAGCGTTGAGGCCGTCCTCGTTGTTGACCAGCACATTCTGCGGGGAGCGGTTGGCGCCTGAGATAGACCCGCCGGCGCCGAAGACTTCGACACGCTGGTCGTACCCGAAGGAGCAGCGCCTCGAGTTCTCGATCACGCCGAAGGCCCCGTTCTGACGAGTAGAAATGACCAAAGAAATAACGTCGTTGGTAGGAGCGATGTCGGGTGTGACACACGTGGTATTACTTGTTCAAGCAAGACCTCATGCGATCGTACCAAAAGCTTCCCCGAAACAGTATGCAGGTAAAATGTCAAATAAAGCCATGTTCCAAACTTTTTGAAAAATTAGGGATCGTTGCGCCGCACAAAACAGGGCATAGGTCATGGCGGCGGCAACGATCAAGATCAACACATGATGGACTTTTTTTGGTCGCCCATTTCGTAGTCGTGGTGCAACAAATCTAAACCACGCGTATCCGACAAGAACCACGAAACGATTGCTGCGTGACTACGGTCGAATTGGTCGTAATCTGACTACGAAGACAATCGGACTGGCTACTGATAGACTTGTACTGTCGACAGACTTGCACACCAAGGTCTGACTGGCAGTGACAAACTTGCCCAGAAGAACGGACTTGTCGTAGACACACTGGTGGTAATCGACATGAAAGTCGGACTGGCCGTAGAGAGACTTGATCGTTCGATTGGACGAAAGGGAGGGAGGGTAAGGTTGGCTACTCCTTCACTTCACTCCACTTCACCTTGAACTTGAGGTGGGTGTTTGCGGTGTCGAAGTCGTCGGCCTCCTTGGCCTCCGGGTCAAAGGCGGTAGCGGTAACGAACACCTCGTCGATCTCGTCACCAACCTGAAACACGACATGAAAAGAAAAACAGGCCTTGTGAACACACAGAAACGTCATGGGGGTAGAAAGGAAAAATACTGACCAAAACAAGTCCGGTGCGTTTACTTCACGTACAGCAGTGCTCGACCACCCTTGATGCAACCTGAGGTACCGTATATAGATGAAGTGCAAAACGTCACAGCAGTCACAAGAGGCAACCAAATAGCCATGGTGGAGGAGGCACCCGAAAAATCAGGGGGTGAGGGTGGCAGTGCATCCAGCCTACTTCAAGTATTATATAGTAGCATTTCGTGAGCCCCCTGGTAAATAGACAAAACGGGGTATCATACGTAGCACATCAAGCCAGCACCTGTTCCGCTCCAAGCACATGTACATGTGTGCGTGGGACGTCGTCGCTTGAGCAGTACATTCTTATATAGCTATAGCGCACGAAGTGTCCCGCTTACCATGCGCATTGCGTTAAGTGGGTCCTACATAATCCGCACGAAGAGAAAAGAGAAAAAACAATGCATACATACACGTTCTTGTTTTCGGCCTTCCGGGCCTCTGAGGGGATAGGGTGAGGGTGCCGAGGTGTGCAATACTGGTATCAATTTTTTGTGCACTCTTGGCGAAAATCAGAAAAACAAATCCTCCTATACATGAACTGTACTGTAATTTCCATGTATTGTACGCACCAGGAAGCGGGCCATGTCGAAGTCGTGGCTGGTCATGTCCATGAAGATGCCGCCGCTGTTCTGCAGGTAGGCCACCGGGGGCGGCGCGGGGTCGCGGCTGGTGATGTGGATGGTACGCACGTCTCCGATGGTGCCCTCGTTGATCTGACAACAGCAAAAAAAAAAAAAGCAGCAGCAGAGGCGGAGGAGTCATGACTTCACCGCACATGCGCGACCATAGCACCAGAAGCACTCTAACGGCAACAGCAACAACAACAACGGCGACAGCCAGCAACATTTCTTGCAGAGAGATATATACCGTGTAATGCGCCGGTCGCCCCGGTGGTCTAGTTGGTATCCTCGAAACCTTCTAGAGGTCAGGTCAGGGGTTCGGATCCCGGCGTAAGCGAGCTTTTCTTGCAGAAGTAAGTTTTTCTCTCGCTTCCGCTCCTGGCCTAGTGGATAGCGCTAGTTCGTGTATACACAGAGGGAAGAGAGTGCTGAACTCTTCTCGCATTAAAAATCGAAGCAACGTACCGCAGGAGGGGAGGGTAGAGAGGGGCCCTTCTGTGTGACCACGGGTTGGAGTAAACGGCACTATCATAGTGCTGTGAGCGCTGATTTGCAGTGAAGCCAACAACAACAAAAAAATACAAGAGCATCCAGTACAACCTTCTCGCGGATGGTGCGGAAGTTGGAGTCGAACCGCCTCTGGAAGCCGAGGAGCAGCTTCACGTCGTTGTCCGCTACGGCCTTAAGGGCGACGTCGATCGTCGGCACGTCGAAAGAAATGGGCTGCAGGACCAAGACAAAAAGCGGGAACAGCATGACACGACGGAGTCATGGCGAGGAAGGGCTAACGTGACGCAACAAACTTGCATGATGACCGACGGTATGACTCCGACATGGTCGGACGTAATTACTTCTATGATAGGTGATGGGGTCGTTCGGCATGAACGTGTGGACCACAGAATTGCGTCAGGAAAGGTCAGATCAGCCAGACTGTTGAAAGAAGACCGACATACGATGGTGCATCCCGTAAAAGGAAGAAAAACGAACAAGTTCAAACGAGTCAGGCAGAAGAAAAAAGAAATGGCAAGCTTCGAGAAAGTCAAGGCGAAACTCAACTGCTTTGCATACATAAGTCAATGCTATGCTATCGAGACGGAACTCATCCTGGCTATACTATAATGGTTCTTCGGGGTTGACGCTATTTACAGGACCATTTTCCATTTTAGCAACTCTCGCTATTACAATCCTTGGCAGACGGGAGGTCGCGGTCTGACCTTCTCGCAGAAGATGTGCTTGCCGAGCTTGGCCGCCTCGATGATCTGCTCCGCATGGAACGGTGTTGGCGATCCCACCACGATGGCCCCTACCTCGGGGTCGTGCACCATCTCCTTCCAGTCCTATCATACATTCATACGCGTATGTTGATATTGTACCAACCAAACACACGCACGCGCAGCGGTGTATGTGTAAATTAATGTGTATTATTGAAATAGCATCGACCGCGCTAAATAGTCGGTTGACCAATGAAAAGACGTCAGCCTTATAATAACAATAAAAGCAGGATAAAATACGCCAACACGACTGCTGGGCTGTCTGTGTGTGTGACGATGAAAAAAAAATCGGAGGGGAGGACAAAACGCCAGAGTGTATGACGAAGGCTGCACCAAAGGTTATCCATCCGCATTCTGCAAACCATCAAGGACGTGACTATATATCCTATCCTGCGACAACCAAGGGTGGCCATAAAATTTGCACGCACAAACACCCCAAGACCCTGGGATGGGCCTGCGCAACAAGCGCATGGATCGTTCCAAGTCGCTCTCATTCGAGAGAGACAAATGTTCCTACAGTAATCCCGGGTCTCTTCGGCGGCGCTGTTCTCCTCGTACTTGTACTCGCACACCACAGGCCCCACCTTGTAGAACTTGGGCAGGCCGTTGCACCCCTCGACGACACGAGCGCCAGCCTCCTCGAAGATGTCCGACACTGCCACCAGCTTAGCCCCGGGGGTTCGGAAGGCCAAGGTCTTGGCATGGATCTGGTTTTTCGTGCCCGGCATTCGTGCAACGTGTGAGGTCACGTCAGAATTGTTCGGTGGGGGACAAGACTCAGGGATATCGCTCTTGCTCTTGTTTGCATCATGTCATCCGGGAATTTGTTGCGTTTCGTTCGGGGCGGCGGAGTGTAGTTGAGACCCCCGTCTTTGTTCCTCTTCGTGAGCACAAGCCCCAATAGAATCAGAGAGAATATAGATATAGTAGCCCTTTTCGACCTCACAATAGAAATATTCGTGGGGCGACGTACACAAGAAAGAAACAAGTGGGAAGGGAAGGGAAGCAGAGCGGGGACCACTCGGGGATAGGACTTTTCTCTTTTTTCTCGCTTTTCTCTATGTTCGCGTATGGGTGTGTACGTCTGTATGCTTGGGTGTTGAGCGCGGGAACTGGCGTTCCACCAAGCAGGGGCCGCCTTGTAGCTGCCTGTCGGGACAGAAGGGCGTGAAGCTGTGCCAGATTGCACGCAGGAAAGGCCACTAAAAATACTACGGTGCTGTGCGTACACAAGATTCCTGGGCTGTGTTTGGATTGGGCACGCCACGTTGAGAAACAGGCCGCATCGAAAACGCACACGTGCGGTGTGGCGGCACGTGGTATTATTTCACAGACCTTGTTGCTGGCGGCGTGGGGCTCTCGCGCCACTGAGTGCTACATCACACCAGCACGTGAAAAAAGCACAACGGTCTCTGGCATCGAGTGTAAACGTGCTGCTGATGGTGAAACGAAGCCCGAACCAAGACATTTCCACAATATACATGCATCCTGCCCAAAAAATATAGGAGTACGAACAGAACATCAAACATCACCAGCGTTTAATCGGAAACTTGCTGCTGGTGGTTGAATTCCCGACCAACCGTTCGGTGCCGTGCAGTGGCATCACAAACCCATAGGCACATTTCTACAGCCGCAGAGGCCATCCTGCTGCTACAACCCGAACCCGGAGTATCCCAAGCTGTTGAGCCAGCTTTTCCCTGTTACCCCTACGGTAGTGTCGAACGTCGTACATTGTACACCACGCACGGGAGCGCTATTGCTGCTCACGGTGGCGCTCAGCGGCATGTCTCATATTAGTGCTAGTTGATAGGAGTGCACATCTCCATACATACGGCCGTGCCTGGCTGCTGGTGGGCACGGCTCTTGAGTGCAAATTGCAAATGATTTTGGATTGGACAAATTAACAGCCCTGAAAAAGACACGGCATAGGGGAGGCGCGTGTGTTTCCCGTGTGCATTTCAACACGACATCCCCAAAACAGACAACAACGCCTGTACAACGACAAAATGTTTGGTTCATTCGCCACTGCAACGTGAAGCCAGCGAGCGCAACAGCTCAGCAGCAAATACAAGTTCTGGCTCTACGTAAGGAAACTAACCACAGCGGCACAGCAGTGCAAGCAACAGTGCAAGCAGCAGTGCAAGCCGCAAGCACACAAGTATGTTCTAGTTCCGTCCGACCCTAAGCTGAGTTGAACGGCCCGACTCCACAATCTCTTGTCAACGAAGGATCCTTGCCAGGGCAGCGCTGCAGCACCTCCGAGGGCACCGCTGTACAAGTATAATTGTTGTAAATACAAATATGCATACCAGTAGTTTTCTTTGAAATTCCGTGTATATACTTCTATTAATAGTTGTTGCACATCATCATCATCGATCGACGTGACACGGGGTACAGCAGTATGCATTGTATTCCACTAAATTGCTGTCTGCTTGAGTTTTGTTCATAGGGCATGACTTCGGCAGGTAGCAACTGGTATCGGAGCAGCACCTGTACCCTGGCGTGCCTTACCGTTAGGCAACTTCGACGGCGAACTCCGAGGAGTTACAGAACAGTTTTATGTAGCACTAGATATGTAGATACGTAGATCATTCTGGCGCGGCTACAGGGAAAAGGCGTGGACATCTTTGCCCCTGGATCCAGCCGTTGCCTAGAAAGGTATCTGCTGTAGAGCAGTACCCCCGCACATATAGACATGCAGCTGCCCTCTCATTACCGTCCTGTGTTTGTGCTTGTGCATGTCAGCAGACTTGGGCACGGAACAACCTTATTGCCATGCAACAGAGAAATACGGTGTGTACCATGTGTGTACAGCAGTGCACAGCAGCAGCCGCACAGCTATACAGCAGACTATACTGCTGTAGCTCTCTTGTTCTAAGCATATGCATATGATGGTATACGAATAGATGCCGCGGGGTACAGCAGCACCCTGATCGGAACCAACCCTTCATTCGGATGCCGGTTGTGAAGCCTAGACATCAAGACTGGTACGGCTGTAGACTGCCACCACACAGCGTGTCGAGCAGTAGACTACTAATGCTGTAGGGCGGTGAGGCACCTTCCCTGGCTGGTGTGTTTTCTGGCTCCGCCTGAAAAGCAAGGTGTTGGACGAGACAACAACTGCCGATAAAGTTCCGACGCCCATGACAAGATACCATCACGCCATCACACAACCACCAGCAGAGCGACGCCGTTCTACATTGAGCTCTTTGCTCCAGGCAAAGCGCCCAGCGATGTACCTCCACTGCTGCGATTTGCACGCATGGCTCATGCACTCACATCTCCGATCCTGCCGCAGCCGATGACTCCCACTCCAAGCGGCTCTTCGGCCATCCTCAAGGGTGAGGCCGCCCTCGATGCCGACGAGGCCGCTGTCGGTAGTCTGTTGAACGAAGCCTGAGGAAGAACAAACGCTGAGCAAGAGCTGCATGTGGCCATCAGGGCCAGCATAGCCCCAGACTGCATCATGGTCGACGTCTACAGACCCGGCTTTACAGAGAGCAGCTGAAGAGAAGCGTAGATAGAGATGTGGAGGAAGAGAGACGAAGCAGGGATAAGGACGTGTGCTTTGGAAGTGCGACCCAGTAGGTGCGATAGTATTAGTATTGATATATTTCCCGCACCGCACCGCCGGTGTCTAGTGGTGTCCTGCGTCCTGCGGCGACGGAAGTTCTTGTTTACATGAAAGCAGTTTGCACTCGAAGCGGTCCGCCTTTCTTCTATTTTAACTATGGAGGGATCCCTATTTTTTTTTATCTAGGTTGTAACCAGCGGATACCTTGATACTTGATACATGTACCTTTGAAGCTTTGAAGGGAAGTTGCTGCGGTGAAAAGAGCGAGACCAACGCCCGTGATTGGCCGGGACTGTCAACTGCAGTCGCGTCAAGACCTGAGGTTCCGGTTTGGTTCGATAAAAGTGCCAATGTGTTTCGGATTTTGCTTGTGCGCGCCAAGTACAGAAGCTCTGCTGCTGCGCCGCTGCAGCACAACTACTCGCCTAGGCTGGAAAGTGAGTGCCCTCGTCGCGGACATATACCTACGGCGGGCGCGAGGCATTCAACACTAACACACGCCAACGCCGGCCTGCTTTTTCAGCAAAAGGAAAAGCATATCTTTTGCACCATGGGCCGCGCGGTGCAGGCGACCCTGTTGGCTGCGGCGTCCATCACGAGCGCAAGCGCGTTCTTCAGCAGTCCAGGGGCGGCGGCGATACGTTCTGCCCGGTCTTCGGCTTCGATCGCTTCCAACTCTGCGTTTAACTCCAAGAGGTGGGCGCAGCGCTGAAGATACACGTGGTAGGCTAGACCTTGGAGAGGGAAAGAAGGAAACATCTCTGCTCTCTTGTATGCATAGTCTACTGCTGTGCTGTAGACGCGCCGCGTCTCCTTGAATCACTTCCGCCGCTCCCGCCCCCCGCAGCATGCGGCCCCCAATCGGCCCCCAAGCCGCCCAGCAGATGTCTGCGATGGGCAGTTGCTAAGCCATGGGCATCTCGGTGATGGGTAAAACTACCAATGCCTACATACATTGCATAATTCAAGCAACAGGCCGGGTGGTGCGCGTTTCTGCACAGCGGCATTCGCAGTAGTGTGGCAGAGAGCCCGATGCCAACAGGATCCAGGCAGCACCTCGTGAGTTCACTGGTGGAGTTTTTAAGCCTGGCCATTCCTCTGTGGCACCATGTCCACGGCCATCTGCATACAGCGTACGAGCAAGATTCCAATTCCGAAGTGCTGCCTCTTGTGCTGCTGCTGCTGAACGTGATGTGCAGCACGATCTTCTTGTAGTCTACCCCGAATCGCATGACCGGCTGGCACAAATAGGAGCGGCTGGCATGTATGTACATACGTAGAGTGCTTGCTGTCGTGGAACATTCTCAGCGCCTCTGTACGTGTGCACTTGCCTTAATCGGAAGAACATCTGCCATGCCCGCGCGTGAGGGCGACAGCCCGATGACGACTCCGACACAACAATTAGTCTACAGATGTTTTAATAGAGACTATAAGTTGTAACATACATATGTTCACACATGTATAATGGCTTGAATAAGTGTTACGTATGAAGACGATTGTAACTATTGGGGTCTGTTTCTAACTGCTGTACTGCCGAATAAGGCTGTATCGCGAGTTTGTCGTTGGTTTGTTGGGGATCTTATGTAGCATCAGAAGCCTGATGCTATTTTCTGTAGCACCAGTTTTGTATTTTTCAAGCGAGGTGGTGAGCGTATGTGAGGCTTGATGCAACCTGGACGTTGGCATACGTGTAGCTCCGCGTCCATCCGCGGTACGAAAACTCTGCCCGCAGTGCGTACGAATTAGTCTATGCTTGCACAACACCTAGAAAAACGTCGAGCTACACGTAGTCTATGTGCGATTAAGGTGCTGCACTGCTGCTACTATAATACTGCATATGCATACTTAGTGTGTGTGTCATACTCTCCGAGGCACGGCGTGCACGCGGACCAAATACAAGAGGTCCGGCGTTGCCGAATTGGTTCAAACCTCGCCAAGATGGTTGTTAGTTGAAGCCGACGTTATTCTCATGGCATCTAATCATCCGCCGCAAAAACGCTGGGCGTTGGCGGAGGCAGGTCATGGATCCGACGGCAGCCGGGGGTGGTGATGGCTGCAGATGGCGACCAAGAGACGGTGGTTGTGATCGGAAACGGGTGAGCAAAGCACGGAACTTCGTCGTAAGTAGTACAGTAGTACACGCCGCGCTCTTCTTGAGTACGACCCTTGAACGCAGTACGGTGTCCATCGGCAAAGATTCGTTAGTCCTTCGACTCCGGCCCCACCCCGGTGGCCAGGCCGTCGTGCCTTGGGGAGTGCCTGGCTGGCTGGCGGGCGAAGGAGGTTTGTGCCGTATGGCGTGGGGTATATGTAGCCGCCACAACGCCTCCATCTGCAAGCGAGACAGGCCCGCTGCTGGCGAAGGGAGCTCGCCCGCATCACAAGAGACATGATCTGCCTAGCGCTCCGTTCCGCCTGCGGTGTTTCGTGTGATCCCCGGTGTCATAGCCTACGTGGCGTCCCGGCCTGTTCAATCCACACCGATTTCCAGCAGTCGATTATTTTCTGGTGATGCCTGTCATTGGCCGGTACAATCCCATATTTGTGGGGACGAAGGGAAGGGAAGTCAACAACTCAGCCGAGCTCGTTGCAACAAGATCCGTTATTGTGTTATTATTATTTTCGACAGACAGGAGGACATGCACAGCACTTTCCATTCATGGCTCAAGTGCTGCTGTCTGCTGTCTACTCACCGACATATCATGTGATGTTTGAATGCTTATGTACGCTTTTTGTTTGTTGTGCTTATTTGGCGGTGCTGGGTGGTGCACTGACCTACGGTGTCTCTTGGTAGGTCACGGGGAAAAGGGCTGGTATGTTCGTTGGGTCCCCTCGGTGCTCGCATCGCGTTCTCACCCTTTCTCCTCTCTGGGCGTGGTTAGATGAGAACGGCATGGAGAGCATCGACGGGCTCTCACATAATACACCGTCTCCCAATCAATCACATACCAAGAGACCGTAGTACGGTGACACCGCCGAAAAGTAAACTATAGTAGTAGCTTGCATTGATGTTGATCAGAGAGCTCTTCCTCGACACACCTTCTCGTCGTGAAGACCGTTAAAATGTTATAATCACCCAGCTAGCTGGAAACGTGCGACATACCGTATATGACACAAGATAACACACCCCCTGGACCGATTTTCAAAGCTCGATTACTCCACGACGAAGAGGATGCATAAACGAAACAATACGTTTTCGAACAGCTC